GTGATTGAAGCCCCCCGCCATTATCTGCAGTTTCCCTCTGACTACATAAACTACACCTAAAATCTATCTGCTGTAGGAGCAGGATACCTCAGTGGTATCCTTAGATTATACATTATCTATAGAACTCTATGGTATAACTAACTTGTGGACATTATGGGACACACACATACACACTGAAAGTATATTTAGTTTCTGACCCTTATGTTTTTATCTTTATTCACAATAACATAGACAGATATAGATAACATAGGTAACAGAGCTCTTTAAAAAATATATATTCCAGGGCAGATACAAAAAACCCTTATGTTTTCAATAGCATCTATACGCCCTCTGATGGTATTCAATGGAAAACACATGCTACAGTAGAAAGAAAAAATCTATTTAATAGAACATGACACTGCTTAAGGAAGTGCATGGGGGATATTTTATTTCAATTAAAACTGAATGAATGATGAAGAAAACTATATTACATGATATCCTTGGTAATTATATGTAACCAATATTTTCTATCAATTAAGTTACACACCATATGCAGCTGAAGAATTCCTGCAATTGGTAGTACTATAAATGCAAAGATTATCATTTTGGCACTTTAAGTTAATGAACAATGTCAACTGACTATGTTTTTAATTGTTCTAATACTTCAAGAACATATATATCTAAAGATATAGCTATATCTATATCTATCCATATCTCATGTGTGCCTATATATATATCCCTCCCCACCATTTCTGCTCTACCAATCCTTATTATATTCTCAAAATGAAAAGTGGGGACACTACTCATCTCAGGAGATAGGCAGTAGAGGGAGATTTTGGTAAGGGAAACAGAGGGTGACTAGGAAGTGAGAAGACAAAAGGAACATTTTCTTTTCTTTTCTGTTCCCTCCCCCTTTAGAAAAGAAAAAATAGGAGACATTTTCAGGAAATCCATTATTTTTTTTTGTCCATCACCTCATGATTGTTATCTCCGTCCTAATCCTACCCTTTCCTTTTCAAATCTAGTTCTAGTCCCTTTTCCCATTATGGTCTTCCTGGATGCCCAGCAGTGGTTGATCCATACTCCCCTTTCACAGTTGGCTCTCTATTTCTTCCCTTGCACTCAACCTACCCTGACAACCTGCACAGACTGCTTCATCTCCCTCTGATCCATACCCTAGCATCTCAGGAATACTGACACATGCAACTACTTTTAAACTTCCCTTCTTTTTACTTTATAGCTCCACTATGTGGAACCACTTTATCAGGTCTGAAGACTGTTCCTGCTGAAAACTCAGAAAACTTCAGTCCCAAGATCTCCAGGCTCAGAAAAACTATCCTTAGGCTCAGACTCTTCCTTCTCATAGGAGAACTCCATATTTCTCCTGATCTAAAAATTCTCTCTGTCTGAACCTCATACTTGTTGCTGTAACTGTGAAAGTCTAGGCAGCAAATAAAAATAGAGGGAACAGGAGCACCTTCTTACGTATCTCTGCGCTCTGATTTAGTCCCACAGGCCTTTGTCTCTTGATCTGTAACTCTCCCTTCTAGCTCACAACAAATGTGTTAAAAGTTGTAGGTCTTTGTGAATACGCCAAAGAATCTTGTTTTCCTTGCTAGGTGTGTCCTCCCTCTGACACCTAAAATCTATCTGTTGTAGGACCAGGATACCTCAGTGGCAGCCACATTATCTATAGAACTCTGTCTATGGTATAACTAACTTGCGGAAGTCCATTAGCTCCTACACACATGCAGGGAGCCTGCTCCAATAAGTTGGAAATCCAGTGCATTGGAGTAGACTCGATTAATCAAATCTGCTGGAGCATGGCTATTGATACGTTTTGGCAGCTTCACCTATCACGTGTATCAACATCACTGTGTGTCTTTGTGGTGACAAAATGGTGACGGTGCGCTTTGAAATAAAACATGTCTAATGAGCTTTAGCTCAGAGTACACCACCACCATTTGTTAGTATGGAGACGTGCCGTGATGCTGATACAGTGACGCGCAGGCGCTTTTAATTAGCACAGCTCACTAATTAAAGTGCAGTGCACCAGAAGCACATGTAAAAATGCCCTAATGTGTAATGGGACATCTCCTTCATGCTTTCTGAGGAGTTATTCTTTGATTTAGCCTTTGAAAAATCATGTTTTGTCTCACTCATTGTAAGTCCCATTAAACGTGCAGATCAATGTTGTTAACCTATCCATACCAATTCTGAATCCTTGCAGCTCCCCCAGGTCTGTGTATAAAGAGAGTGCCTAACCTGTGCAACAGGGGAAAGAGAAGTGGCAACACAGCTGTAACTTTCCCTGAACTGGAGACTGGGGGGACAGTGCATGTTCCTTTCCCCCTGACCTTGTTTCTACAAGTGTAAGCCTACATATGTGCCACATATTGTATCACCTGTTCCTTGACCCATTACCTTGAGAGGATTCTTTGCATGGTTGTAGGAATGCAGCCATGGTTCCAGAGGTAATTGATACTACTAGCTCCATAATTATTTTCCATCCTTGGACCTCATGATCATAACCTGACCCTGAGAAATTTACTGAAATAGAGTGGAATGTGTGAAGCTCCCATGCAAAGGATTTCAGTGAGGCAAATTATTTCATAGATTTCATAGGTTTTCATAGATATTCGGGCTGGAAGGGACCCTGGAGGATCATTGAGTCCAGCCCCCTGCCCCAGGGGCAGGAAGTCAGCAGGGATCATAGGATCCCAGAAAGATAAGCATCCAAATGTGTCTTGAAGCTGTTCAAAGTGGGTGTTTGAACCGCCTCTGGTGGGAGTCTATTCCAAACCTTGGGGGCTCAGACAGTAAAGAAGTTCTTCCTTATGTCCAGCCTGAATCAGTCGCAGCAGAGTTTGTGACCATTTGATCTTGTCATCTCTTGGGGCGCTCTGGTGAACAGATGTTCCCCCAGATCCTGATGAGCACCCCTGATAAACTTAGAGGTGGCCATCAGATCACCCCTGACCCTGCACTTTTCTCGGCTGAAGAGTCCAATGGTTCTCAGCATCTCATCATAAGGTCTGTTTTCCTGAGCTTGGATCATGCACATAGCTCTCTTCTGGACTCTCTTAAGCTTCTCCACATCCTTTTTGAATTGTGGAGCCCAAAACTGGACACATTACTCCAGGTGTGGCCTCACCAAGGCCGAGTACAATGGGACAATGATGTCCCAGGATTTGCTTGAGAAGCATCTGTGGATGCAAGCCAGCATTTTGCTCACTTTACTAGCCACAGCATCACATTGAAGGATCGTGTTCATCTTGTGGTCAATCATGACCCCCAAGTCCCTTTCATCTGTAGTGCTAGCCAGCGTAGCACTGCCGAGCCTATAAGCATGCTGCAGGTTTTTCCTCCCAAGGTGGAGAACCTTGCATTTTTTGGTGTTAAACACCATCAGGTTCTCATCTGCCCATTTCATGAGCCTGTGAAGATCTGCCTGGATCACTCTCCTGTCCTCAGGTGTGGATGCTTTACCCCAGAGTTTGGTGTTGTTGGCAAACTTGGCCAGTCCACTTCTGACACCAATGTCCACATCATTGATGAAGATGTTAAACAGTATAGGCCCTAAGACAGAGCCTTGTGGGACCCCACAGGTCACAGCGCACCAAGACGATTGGCTCCCATCAACCATCACCCTCTGGGTCCTACCGTGGAGCCAGTTCCCCAGCCAGCAGATCATGGTGATGTCGAGGCCTCAGTTAGCCAGTTTTGCCAAGAGGTAATCATGGGATATCAGTTTGAAAGCGTTTTAAAAGTCAAGATATACGACATCAATCTCTTCCCCCTTGTCCAGGTGATAGGTCACCTGGTCATAAAAGGAAACGAGATTGGTCAAGTAAGACTTACCCGCAGCAAACTCATGCTGTGTATCCCTCAGGATATTGCCATCAGCTAGTCTGTTAATGATGGCCTCTTTGATTAATCTTTTCCAAGACTGAAAATGTGTGCTTCTCTGCATACAGAGTATAACCAATAATGTGTTTACAGATAGAATTGTAAACATTTATCTTTCAAAAGGAAAATACTATGCTATTATCAGCAGGATTTTTCACACATGTTCAGCACTTGCAGGTCTTGATGATATCTGTGGGAGTTGCAGGTGCTCAGAACCTCACAGAATAAGTACATCTGGTATGTTTTAGTTCTCTTTTAAATCTTTGCCAGCCCAGAACTTGCTATATGGAATGTCAGTACCAATGTATGGAATGTTAGTAAGAGATAATCTTTATTGTTTTTTGTGACACAAGGGGCACATCTACACACTCATTAATGCACTTTTGCTGCTACATATTAAATTTAGTACTTCTAATGTGAGGTACTAAATAAATGTGCATTAAGCTGCCCTAATGCACAGTAGCAAAAGTGCATGCTATTTTAGTGACAGTGTGCAGTAGCCTATTTTTACTGTGCATTAATGTATTAGCACAATTTTGGACATGACACATTAATTCACAGTAAGTTAGGCTACTTTGCATTAAAGTGCATGTGTGGACATGCCCAAGAAGTAGGAATCGCCCACAGAGAACCCTTTCTGTATCTCTGGGCCAAATTCTGTAGGCCCAAATTTTCAAGTTTGACTGGTTTCTAAATTCATATTTGGTTTCTAAATACTAAGAGCTGGATTTTGGGAGGGTGATGTATGAGTGCTTGGCACCTGAAAAAATGAGGGCATTTTTATTTAGGTGCTTCAATACCCATATAAGAGTTTAACTATAATTTCCTGGTTTGAAAACATGGCTAAAATCTATACCTCATGACTGTGTTATTGTGCAGTACTACTGTGCAGTACTACTGTACATATTTAGCACCTGGCAACTTAATATATCTTTATTTATTTATTTTATTTTTAGTTTTTGATGGAACAACTGTGAAACACTACAGGATCAGAACGATGGATGACGGGACCTTTTTTTTAAGCAGAAGGAAGACTTTTAAAACCTTGAAAGATTTTGTTGACTACTATTGTAAGAACGGTGATGGACTCTGCGTAACACTTGGGAACCCATGTATAAAGGTAAAACTTGTTCTGAATTGTGAAAGAAATTTTTTGAACTAACCTTTTAGTTATCAGTCATAAGATATTAGGTTGCAAAATGGTGATGATCTGATTATTTTAGGAGGTCGTGGGTAGCAGCACTATTTCATTCTTGAAGCTGACACATTAATAATAAAACAGTATTGCATTTTGGACAAATAATTGTGTAGCTAGAGGAGAAAATGTGCCAACTTGTGATTTATGAATAGCTGTGTGTAAACGTATATTGAGATGAAATCGTCAAGTTCATGACTTTTGCTGTCTATAGGTAATTACGGAGACAAAACCATCAAGTTCAAGCAGGCAATATTTCATTGTTCAAAAAACTTGCTAGGGGGATTATTTCTTTTTTATGTAGGGGTATCTTCTTCGGAGCTAAAACAACCTTTTTTGTAATAGGAGTTGAATTTTATAGTAAAGCTATACATTCTGATATGTATTCTTCATCAAGCATGCATCGTGTAAATATTCACTCTTTATAATTGAAACCTCATTTGGAATGTGTATAACAAAGATTGACACATAATCCTGAAACAACATATTTAGTATTTGTGTTGTTTCTTTTTTTCCTACCCCAGAAAGAAATTCCTACTCCTTTTGATTTGTCATACAAAACGGTGGATCATTGGGAGATTGACCGAAAATCTCTGAAACTGTTGAAAAAATTAGGCTCTGGCCAGTTTGGTGAGGTGTGGGAAGGACTATGGAATCACAGTACCCCAGTGGCTATCAAAACATTGAAACCAGGTATGTCAAGTATCACTCAGATTTGCTGACAACAGCACTTGTTGTATTTTGCAAGTATTCTCTTAGAGAAAAACAGTAATGCTTCAAGACTTGTGGAACTCATCTTTTTAAAGGTATGTAAAATGTGACCCTTGTACCTTGAGATCCTTTGATGATCCCATGGCACTTTTCACTGAAGTTAGACAGGCTGTCTCCCCATGACTGATTCTTTTGGATCTTTTGTTGTTTGTCTTCTCATACCACATGGAAAACCAAATAGCTGGTCTGTTTCATTGTATGTTATCAGTAGCTGAAGCAATCAGTTTAGCTTTAATCTATAATCTGTAAAACTCTTTCTGCTAGTCCGCTATATTACTATAATATTTTATTGGTATAGAATCTGTAGTACATAAATCTTCCTGTTGCTGTTTAGAGTTATATAAAATAAAATGCCTGAGTCTAAATAATAATTGGAAATGCAATAGCAGTAGAAATACTGGCATACTTTACTAATTGCTGATGTGTTTTCCTTGTGCATCCTTTGTGAATAATGTAGCTTCTATTTGATTTTTTCTTTACATATTTAATTATTTTTAAATTCCTTTTACCTCATAATGCAATAACATGTACCAGCAGATAGCATAAATCCCATAGGCACCCGAGTGATAACACCATCATGTGTTTCCTTTAAAATGATTCAAAATGCTTTTGTTGTAACAGACTGGATTCAGGAAAATTCTTATTTTAAAAAACCTGTAATGCTTTCCAGAATAGAGGTAGACTTAACCATGTGCTTAAATGGTTTATTGACATTGAAACAATATTTGCAATATGTACAAAGCAACTGAAACAAAAAAAAAATGACTTCTTTCACTAGATTCTAAGTGAAGGAAAAGCTCATATATGGGGCTTCTCACAACATGGAAGCCCCATATGTGAGGCTATGTGAGACATACTTACTTCATAGATACTGTTTGTTTCTGGCATTAATGATTTACTAGAATTAGGTCACCTGAGCTAAATCCTTTTAAGTATCTGACACAGCAGTTATACAGATTATTGAGAGGGAAAGAAGAGTATGCCCTGAACAGTGAAGCATAATTTTTAAACAACTGCATAAAATAAGAGAGCATTAAATAGAGGGTGTGAGGAAGGGCAGCAAATAAAATAGGTAGCCTCAAATTAATTATTGGCTTTTTACTATCTTTATTAAAACAAGTTTTGATTATTAGGATCCTGGGAAAAGGATTATCTTTTCTTCTCTTCCTCTTCCCCTTCCTTGCCCTATCAATTTCTGGATGAAATACAACAATTGCACGTCAAACTTTTTTTGTGGGTGGACACCCACACAGAGCATATAGCAGAGTTGTGTCCCAAAGTGGAAGGCGCTTTTTTATCTTTATTTCCTTTCAGTTTTCTTTTTGAAACATGTTTTATATATAAATTTGCTTCAGTTTAAGGAAACACCTTGAAACAAACATGAAAATGAAGGAAACCTTTTTGCTGGATGTCAAGCACATGGTTTCATTCAGTTTACAATGTAGCTTGTTTTGACTCTGCTTAACTAGAAAAAGCTATTTTTTTACGTTTCAAGTTCTTGTAAAATTATTTTATTTGATTTTTTTGGATTGGCCAATGAACCAAAAGTGTTTAATTATTTGTATCATCCTAATGAAAACCGCAGTTCATCCCATTTGGTTTAATTAAGTTTTTTCCTTCTCTCCTGATAATACAACTTGGCTTCTCTGATTTATTATCAATTATCAGAACCTTCCATATTGCAAACTGCAGAATCTTTGGAAGACAATTTATAAAACAAAGCAGAGAAAGCTTACTTCCCTAAATGAGTGAGAGCATGGAGTCTGAAGGGAGGATAATACCAGATTGTTTTTTTCCCCCTTTCTATAACAGATGTTTGACAAGTTTAACAGATATTTCACTTCTCCCAGCACTCTACATTTAAAAGCATGATTCCACTTTTGATTTTCATCACTTCTGTAAGTCAAGAAATTCCTGCTGCATCCCTTGATCTTGCAAAAGGAAACATTGGGTAGAAAGATATTAAGGTTTAAAAGAAAGTCTAATGATCTTGGATGTCCTGATCTCTAGGGTACTCAGCTTGATGCATACTTGTACTGATTCTCAAAGGGTATCAGAACTCTCAGTCCATCTTTTGAAATGTCAGAGCTCAGCATCTTTAAAATCAGGCTTGAGGTGTATTAGGTTGAACAGTGTAAATCAGTAGCAGTGTTGGGCTCCCAACATAGAATCATAGAATCATATCATAGAATCATAGAAGTAGGGTTGGAAGGGACCTTGTAGATCTTCAAGTCCGACCCCCTGCCTGGGCAGGAGAAAAACTAAGCTCAAATGACTCCAGCCAGGTAGGCATCAAGCCTCTTCTTAAAGACCCCCAGGGTAGGAGCCAGCACCACTTCTCTTGGAAGTTGGTTCCAGCTCCTAGCCGCCCTAACTATGAAGTAGTTCTTACGGATGTCTAGTCTAAACCTACTCTCCAACAACTTGTGGCCGTTAATCCTTTTTATGCCAGGGGGTGCTAAGGAAAACAAGATCTCTCCCAAACCCTTCTGGTCCCCCCTAGTGAGTTTATAGACAGTCACCAGGTCCTCCCTCAGCCTTCTCTTGTGAAGGCTGAACAGGTTCAAGTCCCGCAGCCCCTAATGTTAATTGCCCAGTCATGGGATGAATCCCGCCATGTTTCTGTAAGCCCTATTATGTCTGGGTTTGAACTGGCTATTCTGAGGGAGAATTCCTCCTGTTTGTTCCCCCTACTACGAGCATTGGTATATAGGCATTTAAGGCCTTGCATAGCTGCGTGTGCCACCCCCCGATTTGGGAGACTGTCTGGACCCCTGTTTCTTACCTGGGCACTCCTTGCATTTGTCATCTGTCTTGCTCAGGTTGTGTCTCCACGTCTTCCTGAGGCCCCCTGTTTTTTTTTTTTTTTAATTATTTTGATCTTAATCTCTCTCTGCTTCTTTCTAAAATGGGGCTAATATTTTTCCAAACTCTTGTAAAGTGTTTGGAGATCTTCCTATTGATAACTCTATGAAATAATGTCTCTTATCATTATAGGCAGACAAGGTTATTTGGGTAAATGCAATATCTTTTATTGGACCAACTAAATAGTTGGAAAAATTGTCCTTTGCAAGCTTTTGGGTACAAACACCCTTCTTTAAGCATATAGAGGGTCTGCTGGAGAACTGTATGCTTTCCTGGATAGAATAGAAGCCAAACTAAAGATTATGATATTAGGACCCAAACCAAACTTTGTGTTTACCCAGCTGTTGTCATCTTTAACCTATTGTGTGGATGTGAAGCTTGGATGGCATATTGGAAACACCTGAACGCTTTGTACACCATAACCTTCAGTTATGTCCTCCATATTCAAGTGGAAGTACAGAAAAACTCCAATCCTCCATATAACTTGGAACTAATGCCAGCATTCTGGCACAGGCAAACAACAATGTTTCTATGGCACAAGCTTCATTGGACAGGATATGTCATAAGGATTTCTAACTAGCCAAAGTACCTGGCTTTGCATGGGTTGCAGTAATCAAATTTGAATCCTATCTTATTTCCCTTTACTAATAAGCTGTGTGTATGTGTTTAGTTTTGTACCCTATTTTACTTGTGTGATACAGCTTGACACTGTGAGCTTTTGGTCATACCAAAAACCTATAAAAGTTGAACATTTAAATGTATTAAACAACTTAATTATGAGGTAGAATTATTTATTTACTTTGTAAGACTTTAGCATAGCATCACATT